TTTGCCCCATGAAATACATTACATATACAGAAAATCATTGCCATTTCTAGAGAAAATAGTGCATGCATATACAACTACCAAGTTTGTATGGGTACTCACCGATGGGCGGAGGTGGTAGAGCGAGTGTGTGGTGGGTAGTGAAGGGGAGGAGGTGGATGGGGTGAGCAGAGGAGGCGGATGGCGGGAGCGTAGGAGGAAGGTGGGAGCAGAGAAGGCGGGGGGGGTGGGAGCCACTGAGAGACTGCGGCTGTCTCCTCCTCCTCCTGCGCTGACTGGGGTTCCTCCGCCGCTGCTTGCGCCTCCTCTGTTGATGTTTGCTCCTCGTCCGTTGTTCTTTGCTCCTCCTTGGCTGCTGTGTGCTCCTCCCCAGCTGCTGTGTGCTCCTCGGCTGCTGGCTGTTATGAAGATGCTACTGCTGCGTCTGCCGTCTCGCGATGGAAAAATGAATCCAGTATTGACTGCTTGTTGCTACTCTTCTTCTCCTTATACATCTCAGTGTAACAGCCAAGACTGTCATCAAAGCTGCGTTGAATCTTTGAGCTACGTTCTCTGTTTAGGTCGTCATCTACAAGGATTTGCATACCTTGCTGGATCATGTTAAAATCTTCTGCCATCCTCTTGGTAGTTAGCGTTCGTTGTGGTTCTTCTTCGTCGTCATCGTCTTCAATGGGACTGTGTTCTGTTAGTTGTTGTTAATCCTCATTGGTGCGCTCTTCTGTATGGGATGCCAGGACGTCCTCAATATCCTGATTCCAGCTTACCAAACCTGCCTGTCTAGCCAAACTGAGGATATCCCTATTCACTGTTGGGACTAAGTCCGTGAATCCCTTATACTGTTGACGCACTCGGGCCACAATTTACCCCACACACCATTCAGGCAACTTTCTGAAACCTCTTCCCATGCCTTGCCAATGTTGTCAATTACTTGAAGATTGTTGAATCCACGCCAATATTCTCGGATCGTAGGTTTATTATCACCGTCTGTAGTCTTGAGCAGCTGGGCCATGGTACGGTGTGAATAATACACCTTGAATGCGGCGATGATGCCTTGGTCCATAGGCTGCATCAGTGCTGTCATGTTGGGAGGCAGGAATATAACTTTTACACTGTCATGCAAGTCGTCAAGATTGGGAGGATGAGCTGGAGCATTGTCAAGGATCAGAAGAATTTTGAAGTCAAGGTTCTCCTTGACACAGTATTCCTTTATTGCAGGGTTGGCTAAATATGGCGCTGATTATCCATGCCTTCTTGTTTGCCTTGTAAATGACAGGAAGGTAATCCTTAGAGTAACCTTTTTGGGACCGTGGGTTAGCAGTTCGAGAAATCAGCATAGGCTTCAGTTTGAAGTTGCTGGCAGGGTTTGTGCCAAGCAGCAGCGTCAAGCGGTCCTTTGCCGCTTTAAAACCTGGCTTTCTTTTCTCCTCCTTGGAGATAAAGGTCCTCTCAGGCATCCTCTTCCAAAAGAGACCGTTTGAATTCTGGAGGGAATGTCTAGGCAGCAACCGTATCTGAACTGGCAGCTTCACCAGTCATCTTAATATTGTAGAAGTTATAACATGCTTAAATCTTTGAAACCATCCTCGACTGGCTGTAAAGGTCTCTTCCTTCGATCCTTCACCCTCTGTTCCCTTCCTGTCGTCAAACAAGGATCTGGCCTTATGATTCTGGTCCTCCATCCACATTGCCAGCATCTTTTCCACCCTTTCTATCACAGTACTTCTAGTACGAGTTGTCTTAGTTGCACTCAAAGAAGAACCACTTCCAGCACTCACCTCTATCACAGTACTTCTAGTGCGAGTTGTCTTAGTTGCACTCAAAGAAGAACCACTTCCAGCACTAACCTTAATCTTGTCAGCGTTGGTCCGGATAGTATGCACCGTTGTGGGTGTTAGACCAAGCACAGTGGTTATGTCCATTTTCGTAGCCAGGGTAATGGTCTTACTACACTAACATCAGTAGCACTTGATGGCTGCTTGGAAGCCATTATGAATGGTTAGAGTACAGCTTTAGAGCAAATGCACTTAAGCACACACGAATGATGTGAAGCTGTAACAAAGACTGGCTCTGCGTCGCTTGGGGACGCTGTGACTTTCCACGAGTGAGGGCAGTGCGCCGAGCAGAGAGAGCGTAGCGTGGCCAGACAAGAGCGGGTGTTACACCATAGAAAGTAGTCAGCGACGACGCAAAACGACATAGTATCGGATCACCGGGGCGTTAAACGAATTTTTAGTCTCTAAAGTTTAGCGACATAGTACCGAAACAATGTTAAGCGGGACGACGTTATAAGAGGACTTACTGTATATCTTTTCCCAAGAGGAACGTTACTCCCTCCACTGGCAAAACCTCCTGAACCCCTACTGTAACTGACCGAGACAAAGGTCCGTCCGAAGATACACTTTACACAAAGAAACGCAAGTGGTTCCACTATCGCAGCATGCTTCCGAGGGGCTGTCTCCACCTTTCACTCACTCACCTGTGGCGTCCCCCATGGCACCAAGATGGGACCACTATGCTTCCTTATGCTTATCAATGATGCCCTAAGAGAAACCCCTGCTCGCTGGAAATACAGTATGTTGACGACTCCACCATTGGGATCAGCGTCAACAATTCTGCTCCCGACTATACTGCCCTTCAGGATTTATTGAACAGTCTCCAAAACTGGGCCACCAACAACCACGTCACCATCAACCATACTAAGACCATGGTTATGCACATCAACCTCTCCTCCGACTTTGTTCCACCCCCTTCCATTATTTTAGGTACTAACACACTCCAGGAAGTAGATTCCACTAAGCTCCTCGGCGTCACCATAAACAGCAAACTAAATTGGAAACCACATGTCAGTGAAGTTGTCAAACCCTTCCTACTCCACATATCAAGAGGCACTCAACACACTGACCCTCTCGGCTCTCACTGACCATCACCACGATCTCATCTGCAAATTTGGTGAAAAGCTTCTGCACCATCCTCGACACCGGCTCCTACCACCACCCGAGAACCCTCGTCCGAGAATTGCTGTTCGAGACAACAACCGCATCCAGCCCATACGAGCACGAACTGATCACTATAAGAGCAGTCCAGTCCCAACCATTGTAAAAATTATCAATAACTTGTAATCAACTAGTGTATTCACTCCCAGTCAATCTTACTTTTTGCACTGTCACTATGTTGAAATGCCCTGCAGTTTGAGCTCCTCCCCACCTAGTTATTATATATCATATTCGTATCACTTATGTTACTTGTATATTATTTGTAAATCAAGAGACCCTTTTCCCAATTATGTAACTGTATATTTTCAGCCTTCCGACTGCCATGCTCTTTCAATAAACCGCTAATTATTATTAATATTATTACTATTATTATTATTATGCCTCTTCCACAGATGGAAGAGCACTTTTCAACAGAATACAGTAAAGCCTCGAATATCGATTTAATGTGTCCTCCAATATTGCAGTGTAAGGTGAATCGTCTTATTGCGAATCATTAATTACCATTAAAATAAAGCAATAATAATGAGATGCATTCCCAAGTGTGAACTTTTCATATCTTTTGTGTGGCTTTTTACCCTCTTTCCCCCAAAAAACAATACACTTAATGAAAATTGCAAACTATATTCTTTAAGTAATGTTTCTGAATGCACCTTATACAATATAAATTAATAATATGATCACACAAGAGGAGATGGGACGCTGTTGTTTTCGTTAGTGTTTACAGCCGGGAGTCCGGGACGATAGTTCTACAGGTGAAAATGAAGAAAATAAGACCCTGGTTGAAGCTGTAGTAAAATTAATGGAAAAAAATATGTTTTAAGTAACGTTATTTAATGTTAATAAATGGAACAATAGCAGTAGCTAACCACTAATGGCAAAGAAAAATAAAAGAGATGGATTGGGAACGACAACATATACGTGCGCATTTAAGGATACCGCGTCATTTATCTTTTTAAAAATATGTACAAAAGATTCTTTATTGTTTATAACTGAATATGTATTTGATTGAATTACTCTTTATTTATACTCAACCCATGTGAGAGGCAGTGGGAGCGTTGAACTCCCATTCTATTTGCCTCTGCATGAGTGTGTTCCTAACATTGTCACTGCTGTTCCACTTACTCGCCGCCTCCCGAAGTTCTCTGTTCGCTCCAATCATGTTGGTTCCATTGTCGGATCTGATGCGCTTGGGAGGTCCTCTGCGGGATGTAAACCTCGTCATGGCGTTGATGAATGAGTCTGTGTTCAGTGAGGTGCGGACTATCAGGTATATAGCTCGGGTGGCCAGACATGTAAACAAGCATCCCCATCTTTTCGCCCGGGCCCGGCCTTGTTTAACCATAAAGGGACCAAAACAGTCGGCTTAGGTGCAGGTGAATGGCCGATCTTCTGGATGTACCCGGTCCTCTGGCAGGTCAGCTTGGCGTTGGTGGGTAGGCTTCCAATTGCTTCTTCGACATATTACACACGTACGTAGTACTCGGTCGATCATCTTACGGCACTTGGGTATCCAATGTCTCGTGTAGCACAGCTAGAGTGTGCTCGCTTCCTGAGTGGCCAGGCCTGGTCGAATGTACCTCCTGTACGATAAGTTCTGTGGTTTTTTGTCCCTGGGTACCAGTATGGGGTTCTTTTGGTCTGGATGGAGAGCAGCACGCTTCAGTTGGCCGCCTACTCCGATCAGGCCGTCTGCACCCAGGTAAGGTTCCAGTCTGCTTACGTCACCAGTCCTGACTGAGTGTCCTCGTTCCAGCGCGTCCATCTCGTGGGGAAATCCCTCCCTTTGTATCAGTCGCAAGACAGCTAATCTTGCCTCATTCAACTCGCTGATCTTCAGTCGGTCCCTTTGGTGACGTTCTTCTTTTGGATCGCTGAAGCGCCACTGTATGAACCTCCTGACCCACGCCACACCTTTCAGTAGCCGATGCCATGAGGAGTACCTTGCCCATAGCCCTTTTAGGGTACTCTCCCCCTGGTCAGTGCCAGTTACCAGTACTGTTGCATCTCCTTTTACCTCCGGGTCTCCATCTGCAAGGTTAGAAATCGTCTTTGGATTCTTTGGCCAATTGTTTTCAATTCTGCCCCATGCAGTCCACGGCTGGCATCATCAGTTGGGTTTTGGTTGGAGCTTGTGTGTCGCCATTGTTCTGCGTTGGAATTCTCATGTATCGTTGCAATCCGGTTTGCCACAAAGGTATGGAAACGCCGTTCAATGTTTCGTATGTATTGAAGGGTGATCATGCTGTCTCTCCAGAACACTGATCTGTCGATCTGCAACTCTAGTTCTTTTCCCAGCTGTTTGTCTGCTTTGGCCGCTAACACTGCCGCACCTAGCTCGAGCTGAGGTATGGTTTGCTGTTTCAGAGAAGCTAGCTTGGCTCTGCCGCACACAAAGGAGGTAGAGTGGGCTTCGTCTCCACTTGTGATCATGAGGTAGGATACAGCCCCGTATGCTTGCTGGGAGGCGTCGCAGAAGTGGTGCAATTGTACCGTAGTTATTGGATTTGCACATTCAGGGTGGTAACATCGAGGGATACGTACTTGAGACAAGTGGGGAAGATCATTTAGCCACTGCCGCCAAGCTGCTCTGTTGTGTTCGGTCATTTGCTCATCCCACCCGATGCCTCGCCTGCACTCGTCATGGAATATGATTTTGGCTTGTATGGTGCTTGGAGCGATGATTCCTAATGGGTCGTATTTGGAGCTGACCATACTCAGGAAACCTTGCTTCGTTTGTGGCTTCGCTGGGAGCCTGTCATCCTTCAAAAGTACTTCTTTCACTTCCATGGCTCTTTCCATTTGTGGGACTGCTCTGAGGACCCCTTTGTCGTTGCAGATCCATTTTGTTAGTCTGAACCCGCCTTTTTTCATCAAGTGCCTCAATTGGTGAGTGACTATCGCCGCCTTCCCTGGTGATGCTACTGAAAGAAGCAGATCATCGACATAGAAGTTGCGACTTCACGCTCTTAGTCTCCTTCAGGATCGTGCCTATGGAGATTGAAACAGACTTCCCTGTTATTCGTAGTCGGTTGGCTAGGCTCTCGGTACAGTAAGACCTGTTGCTGCCTGAGTCCAAGAGTGCTCCAGTGATCACTGTTGTATTCGTCTTTCGCCTTATATCCCCGACCTTGACCTTTAATATGGGGAGTGCAACTCTGCCTGGATCTGCTAGTCATATGTCGTAATCTTCGGGTCCCTCGCACTGGTTATTTTCTCGACCGTAAGTATCTCTGGCCCATTTATACAGGTTTTCTCGGATCGTGGTCACCAGTGTAACCTGCCTGTTTCCAGCCCCTTTCTCCTTAACTCTCGAGCTGGATTCGGGTTTCCATGGCCTGGCTCCACTGGTCGTTGATTTTGGTGCCGACATGATGGCCTTGAGGTGACAGTCACCTAGCTTTTGCCGCTTGTGGTCGGGCGACACTTCTGACTGGTGGGCATCCATGGTGAAAGCTCTTTTCATCCCTTGAAAACTGGCTAAGAGTTCCTTTCTTGATGGTTTGTCCTGGTTTGGTGTGTTATTGCGCATAGAATTTCTCGAGAAGTGCAGGAGTTTCGAGTGGAAGCTATAGCAGCCATCTATGCTACACCTTGTCTTCTGGCTGCACTTGGCCATTCGGTGAGCGCAATTTAAGCAGGCGAAACAGCGACGTTCTTCACGTACGAGTGAAGTTCGCGCTCCAGTCGACATGTTGAGGAATGCTTGGCATCTCTGCAAAGGGTGATATCCAGGGCACGACGGCCAAGTGCGGTCGTCCCTTCCTCTAACCTCCTCTCTTCCCGAAGTCACTAGGCCCACAGGTCTCCTTTCTGATGAGGAAGGGTATGGGTGTGAGCCTGTTCGTCTCCCGCTCGGCTCTTCTTGTCTTTGTCCCCTCGAAGCCCTCCTTGTCCTGTCTAGCATCTCCAGTACAAAATCCTTCATCCACTAGACCCCTGCAGAATTCCCGTGTCTCCTTTCATAGTCATATGCTCTTTCCTCGTATCGCTCCCTGATCTTTCCCGTGAATCTCTTTGGCAAAGTATTCAGTGATTCGTACGTGTCAATTTCGTGCAGTTTTCCCAGTACTTTTAAGTTATTTACGCAGTTTCCCAGATCGTCCGCGAGCACCTGAAGTCCTTTAATGTCATCTGTTCTCATGGCTGGGCCACGTAAGACCTTGCCTATTAGTTCTTGGACGTAGGCTTGCTTGTTGCCATAACGCTCCTCTAGCAAGACTAGAGCTTGTTCGTATCCTGCCCTAGGGTCTTCTATTTGCAGGCACGCTCTTAGGGATTTCTTAACGCGGCCGGTTTAGGCCGAGAGAAGTGTTTCAAATTTCAGTCCATAGGGTATGGACGCCTCCCCAATGTGTCTTTGGATGGCATGCTTGAACTCCCAATACTCGTCACAAATCCCTCCGCTGAACCTTGGCATTGGCCTCTGGGAAAGCCTCATAGTGGCCATTAACTCCTCCAGTCTCTGGGTTGGTAGCATCATGTCCGATGGCCTCCCTTCCGTCCGTCCTGGGCGTTCTCGCTGTATATCTTGTACTTGGTTTTTCTTCTCCTGGGTTTCTGTTGGTGTCACTGCTTCCGGAAAGTGGGTATGACGGATGGAAACATGTTCCCTCTCCCCTTGATGAGATGTTCCCGACTCTGAAGCGCTGAGTGTTGGGAACCCTCCTTGGGTGGGTGTCGAAGTGTAGCAGTTAGACACTCCTGATTCCGGCGGTTGACAACGTGTGTCTCGTGCATACCTCGTTGTGGCTGTCATCCCTTCACTCGTTTCCAAAAAAGGCTTTCCTCCTGTTAATGACAGCATCTCACCAAAGTCCTCCGTATCGCCTAAAGCCTGAAGTTGCTCCATATGATCTTTCATATTCTGCATCATTGCCGTCAATTGGGTAAGCGTCTGCTGATAGCCCCCGATTATCCTATTTAACCGGCCTGTTTGTTTCATCCTTCTCTCGGGTGAAGGGGTTTCTCCACTTCGCCCTGGCTGTGTGAGTGACCGGTTAGCATCTCCGTCGTTCAGGGTCTCCAGCTCTTCTATGCTGGCTTGGCTTATCTCCTCTGCCTTGTTTCCTTCCATGACTGGTGACACAGTGAACTCGATTTGGCTCTTTCGGTGGACAGTTATAGAGACGTTCGGTTAAGCGGGAATGCTCTTCAACTGACACGTCTGCTCGTTTATAACGATGTCATATAACTGAGGTCATACAAGCGATGCCATGTAACTGAAGTTATACAAGCGATGACATACAATCTGAAGTCATGTAAGCGATGTCATACAACTGAAGGAGGGTGCTGGTAGTAGAGTGGTACCGCTCTTGCCTTCCCAAGCGAGATGTCACGGGTTCGATTCCCGGGCCGGTGGAAGTTGTTTGGACATACTTCCTAGCCCTCATTAGTCCCTGTTCACCTAGCAGTAAAGTAGGTACCTGGTGTAAATCGAAAGTTGCGAATTCGTATTCAGGGACAAGTTGTTGGAGCTTCCAATAACTTGATGACATTAACCATTGACTCTTCAGGCTTCTATGCCCTTGACTCTTCAGACTTCTACGCCCTTAACTCATGAGACATAAAGGCAAGCATGAACTTAGCATACTTCCCTGTTGGGCACTGTAAACGCTTCTGCGCTTCACCTTACACAAGGTGAACGAACCACGGGGTGCAAGTACAGCTGTGTTGACGGCTGGGTAGTGTCTGCTGTATATTGAGGTGGCAGTGACGTTCTCACCTCCGTCTACTGACCCAAGTAGGGGACGCGAACAAGCAATCGGGCGGCGAACAACCATCCTGCTCGTTACAGCCCTGACACAGCTCCCCCCCAAAAAATCTACTATAAGGTAGATTAAAACTTAAGATTAGTACATAAAGAATAATCACCCTACAACAAATGTTTAAATACACATAGCAAAATAAAGAAGGGTCACAATAAAAGAATAAGAGGTAACTTGATGTCCAAATATCATAAGGCTGTATCAAGGAACTGCACGTGGGATCCACTACAGTCCAGGTTTAAGTTGGGGCCTATTTCCAGTCATAGAGGATTCTTCTATCCCGTCCGGGGTTATCGGTAGCTGGTAACCGAGATCATCCGAGTTTGGCGCCTGAACTTCACAGGAACTCTTGCAGGGTAGTGCCTCGACTGACTCCAGCTTGGGAATGTCGTCAACGACACGAGCTATGTGGGTACTGCAATTATAATTCCTTCACAAATTAGCTTGATATAATTTAGGCTTCTTAGAGGAAGGGGGTGAGAACAGTCCAACAAAATCTATGGCTACTCGAGAAAATGGTTCTGTAATGATGGGTAAGGGTTCACGTGGAACAGGACATACGGGGACACTGATCACAACTCCTAAAAAAAGCTCTAATATCTGCTCCCATACCTGGCCATTAAAACTGATCAGCAACCTTCCTATAAGTTTTCCTACGAGAACAGTGTCTTACTGGAAGGCTCTCGTGAGCTACAGAGAGAATGTTACTACGACAATCAGCAGGGACAACAAGTAAAAACCGACCTACTTTGGCTGGTCGCTTGGATGATACACAAGACTTGTGTAACAGACTGTAGGTTATGTATCTAAGCTACTGTGCCGAGTAGCAACCCTGTACATAAGCTACTGTGCCGAGTACCATTTATATATATAATCACGTGGCAACACTGCACGTGTTATGTGGCAACATTACCCCGAGGCTGCCATATGGCAAGGCAGCCTCAGTCTGATTGTGTGAGCCGTGCATGGCACACGCGAGTCACCACTTGTATTTCTCTCATCCATAATAAACGGACTTCAGTGATACACAGTGTTTCCCTACCCATCACTGCATTCTTCAGGGAACACTAGTAACCTTCACAGACCATTAATACAAACAAACTTGTAAACAGACCCATCTCTAACCTGATCCTCCTCCCCGGAAGTCACCTTCTCCCTTACCCGCGTCTGAGTGGTACACGAGGCTTGAAGCTTGGCGAACTCGGTGGCAATAAATTCAGCAGAATCAGGGGATGCAGTCGTTTCACCTTCGCCGACCGTGTCTCCACAGCTTGGACCTTTACTTTAGGTAAGATGGTGTGTGAGGGTGGCGAGGCGACATCGGCAAGTGGCGAGTCGACGTTGGCAGGTGGCGAGGAGACTGGCACTGGTGGTAAGGAGAGTTTTAAAGGTTCCGGGTCGTTAGGGTCACGAACTCCGGGAACATTACCAATGAGAACACTAGCGAATTTAATGGGAGCTCTTACCACATTAGACCAACCAGTGAAATAGGGGCAACGCGGGTAGCACCTAACAACAGGGAACTGGTCAACACGACCTAAATAATCGACGACACTAACCTTCGAGCAGCTCAAGACGTCAGCGTCAGGCAGGGCTTCTTCAGAGACAATAATGCACGAGCAACAAGTGTCCCTGATGAAAGTAGATGCCCAAGACCCATTTATTGTTCCGCTGACACAATAATGGGGGCAGCTTTTGTCTTCCAAACAGAATCCGACCTTGTAGCTGGGCTGATGAATGTCGGTAGATTTGAAGGCGCGGGGATTCCTGGGACAGCGAGAACGAATATGTCCTTCTTTTCCGGAGTTGTGGCACCGCACGGCCGGTGAACTACTCTTCTACACTCCTGTGAATGGTTCCTCGGAGGACGGAGGTTTTGTGTTATTCACTGGAGGAGTGGGAGACATGGGGTACGCGTTGTGAGCGGACGCCCAGTTGTCAGCAAGTTGTACAGCTTCTCCAAGCGTCGCTGGCCGGTGTTCCTTGAGGAAAATTTTCAAGTCTGGCGGTAGAGAAGAAAAAAACTGATCTAATATCATGAAGTTAGCGAGAGACGCAAAGATTTCTTCAACCTCTGACGCCGCTCGCCATTGTTGAAACAAACGA